TCCTTCCCAGAGCCATTAAAAAACGTAATGCCTATTGTAAAAAACCACACCACTCTGGATGATAGAACAGTTATAGAAGAGAGAACAAAAAATTCAGGAGAAATTGTAAAGCAAATATTTTGGCAAACTTCTATAAAGAAACAAAGACAAAAATTTAAAATACAAACAAATGAAATTGTTACTGAAGGTCTTGGAGACATGTGTTGATGTAACAATAATTGCAGTAGAATCTTGGCATCCAAATTGGCCTCTTCATGAGGTAAATGTTCAGCTTTCAGTTATTGGAACATTATCTCAGATAAAATAGAGTGTGAGATGGGTCTAACGTATAGGGACAGAAGGACAGAGAGGAAAATGAAAGCCATATGTAGCTAACATAGCAATGAATTTATGAGGATGTAATTTGTCACACTGATGGAATACTCAAATTAACATTCCTTCAATTTCAGAAACAACACATAAATTAACATGTTTCTCAGAAAAATATTAGAAAGTATTATAAAAAATAGTCACTGATCATTCAGATTGTACAAGAACAGAGTACAACAGCTGCTGTTCTTTCAAAGGCACCAACAGCCCTACCTTTATAATGGTTGACACACAAACCTGTACGGGTTGAGCAGTGGCCTTTAACATCCAAGAAACTGAAGACCTTAGAACACCTGCTACAGAAGCAGTTAAATGCGCAGCATATTCAAGAATCAACCAGCCCTTGGAATTCTCCTGTATTAATTATTAAAAAGAAATCTAGAAAATGGAGAATGGTAACAGATCTAAGAGCTGTTAATAAGGTGATTCAGCCAATGGGCTTTCCACAGTCTGGAATTCCTTTGCCTTCTCTATTACCTAAAAGATGGCCTCTTATGTTTATTGATTTAAAAGATTGTTTCCTCATTATAACTTTACAAGAAAAATACAGAGGAAAAATATGACTTCATAGTGCCTATTTACAACAATTCTCAGCCTGTTAAGTGATATCAATGGAAGGTTATCCCACAGGGAATGTTAAATAGACCCACCCTGTGCCAGTATTTTGTATGACAGCCATTGGAAATGATACATAAGCTATTTTCTCAATCTATAATTTACCTAATTATGTGGATGACACTTTACTAGCTGCTTCAAATGCAGATACCTTAGAAAGAATGTTTGAAGAAGTAAAGAAAAATTTGCCTTGTTGGAGATTAAAAATTGCTCCTGAAAAAATACAAAGAGGAGATTCTATTAATTACTTGGGATATAAAATAGGCCTACAAAAAATTAGGCCCCAAAAGGTGCAAATTAGGAGAGATCAATTGTGGACTCTTAATGACTTTCAAAGATTGCTGGGAGACATTGCTCATCTATGGCCCACTACTGGAGTAAAAAATCAAGAACTGATTAATTTGTTTCAAACCTTCAAAGGTTACAAGGACTTAATTAGTCTAAGAGAATTATCAGCTGATGCTGAGAGAGAATGCGCTTTGGTGGAAAAGAAATTATAGAATGCACATGTGGATCATTTGGATTCAGAGCTTGATTGCATTCTGGTTATTTTATCCTCAATGCATTCTCCTACAGGAATATTAATGTAGAGGGAATATATTATCTTAGAATGGATATTTTTTTTATCACATAAATAGAGTAAAATTTAAAACTTTTGTGGAAAGATCTGAGTTAATTCTAAAAGGAAAATTGAGACTTCATCAATTAGCAATTAATAGACCGTGCAGACATTGTAGTACCTTTTACTAATGATGAAACTGACAAATTATGAGCAAGTGAACACTGTAAAGATATGCTAAATTAACAGAAAGGGGTAATATAGACCCTTAGAAATAGATTACATAATGCTTTATTAACTTTGAATTTTCTAAATGCTAATGAGAATAGAACAACAGCTGCAGAGAGACATTGGATAATAGAAAAAAAACACTACAGAATTAAATCAGCCTGTATACTTTAAAGATGTGCTGATCTCAGAATGGAAACCAGGACATGTGTTACGTTGGGGACAAGATTTTGCTTTTGTTTCTACAGGAGAAAATGAGCTATGGATACCATCAAAATTGATAAAGGTTCGATTTGAACAAGAGAGACCTCTTAATTAGAAGAGATGACAGTTCATCAGTGTGGCCGTTCAATCTAAACTAACCTATAAATCTAACAAATGCTTTTAATGTGATCAGATATAACTTGCCGAGAAGGAACCTCCCCAAAATTAGGGTTTGGGAAGGCTTTTGTTTTTGTCTTCCAGGAGAATGAAGGTAATCAGCTAAGGAATCTGAAGACCACTGGACAAATGAGACATCTGTAGAAAAGAATGAATCATCCAGAGAAAATGTCCCAGAAAAAGAGAGTAAATTGTCCTATTGTTATATCACATCTCCAACAGGATAAAATTTCATAAATCTTCTCAAATGTTTGTTTCTGCTATTCTCTATTGACATAAAATGCAAATGGTCTTTTTATAGTCCCAGTTCAATTAAAATTTAAAGCTGGCTTTGGAGTAGGAGTGTGGCTTTCTCCTTCTCTCAACCCAAGCATGTTTGTTAAAGTAAAATCCAAAATCTCTGTCTCATGTCAGAGAGCCACCTGATATTGAACAGAAGAAAAACCAAAATTAGGGACTATTCTATTGCTATATTATGCTATTATGCTAATCTCATAATCCATTGATTTTATTTTGACTCTTTAAAACTTTTTTAAGGTATGAATATTATCTCAAAATTTATAAGATATATATATATATATATATATATATATATATATATAAAATCAATAATGGTTATATATAGTAGTAATTCTAGAAATAGATTTCATCTAGCTTCCTATACATGATTTCATGTTTCAGTCTCTATCAAGTAACTGGGAATTAAATTTTCATACTCTGAATGTACATAGCAAGTTATTGTTCTTTAACCTCTTTGAAATCGGCTGCATGTGACATACAATGTTTAAGTTTTCTGCAATGAACCATGACCATGCCAACTGTGACCTTTGAAGTCTCCAAAAGAGGATGGGGCCTCACAATGATAGTTTTCCTTCTTAACAAATTCAGAAAAGAAACTCACTAAAGAAGTGTGAAGTGTATAGGGTTGAGACACAATAAAAGATAGTTTGGGTAATTCAAGTTAGAATAGAAAGTGAATTAGTTACAACACTTTGGACTTACCAAGACAGTGGATAATAATAATAGATAATGGAGTATTTTCTCTGAATTTGCCAAATGTTAAATGACTAGATATTGTTGATGTATTTATTGCCTGTATATATGGCAGTTATTGTACTTATTGTATATTGTTTTTCTTATATTAGTTATAACCTTTTTTAAAATTTAAAAAGGTGGGAAATGTGATATTTTGCTTGTGCTCTAACAAATAAAGCTTGCCTGAAGATCATTAATTAACCATGGAGGTCTGTAGTTCTATATAGACAGGAGACAAGAAGTGATATGGTTAAGCGGAGACAGGAGCTTGGCCCCTTTTTCAGTCTGAGAAGTCATGGAGGTAAGAGATGACTTTGGCTAGCTCCTTTACTTCCCTGATCTTTCAGCATTTATCCATATATCTGACTCTGGGTTTTTATTAAGACCAATTAGAATTCATGCTACATCCAATGGACATAGAATGTAAGCTTTTCAGTCCAACTAATTAGATTGATATGTTCTTTGTGTTGTTAGGAACAGTGTCAATATTTTAGAGAACCAAAGATGTATAAGAGACAATTTCTATGGCTTAAGGAAGAGGTTGGTCAGCTTTCGGAAGGTCCCAGATTCCCTTGTGTTTGGGAATGTGAACTTTGTTTCACCCTACAGGTAAAACAGACTCTGAAGTCAAAATGACAGTGCTTAGGACAAGGTACTTTTGCCTGTTCCCAACAATATAAAATAATAGGGAATTGGATAATGTATGCTAAGTACTTAACTTGGGATGGGGCAGAAAGGAGGAAGTGTGGAAGGGTATGGTTATTTTAATAGGAATGGTCCATATAGACTCATGTGTTTGAATACATGAATACACAGGGAGTAACACTATTAGGAGGTATGTTTAAGTTACAGTTAAGCATGTACATATGAGTGTAGTAACACTGTGCTCTAAATGAATGGGGTATTGGATAATATGTGCTAAATGTTTAACTGGGGATGAATAAGGAAGGAGGAAGAGTGGGAAGGTTAACCAAAAGGAAGGATGTATGAAGAAGCCTCATGAAATCCCACTGTCTTACAGGTTAATAATAAATACAAGCTTAAAACTTTGAACAGATGTTTTCCAAATGGGTGAATAATGCTGCTCCCAGACACCAGTGCTAGTAAACTGATTGTACCAGGTCATCTGCTGAGGAATTCCTAGTCAGGGAATTCCCAGAGGCATCATAAACAAAAAGGTTATCATCAGTGCTCTTGCTTGGCCACATAAGTACATGGTGTAGCTGAAGACACCCAACACTTTGGTTGCAAGGTAGAGAGAGCGAGCAATCTTGAACTTACCAGGAATTTCTCCCAACTGGGTACCTTTCATAGAATTGTAAGGTCATATGAGGGCTGCTGGCAAAGCAAATGTATTAACAGTCTTACTTACCACGGACCCTGCATCTTACAACCTACTGAGCAAAATGTGTATACTGGTGCAACACTGTCACAACTGCTCATTGGCATAACTAATCTCTCTCTATTGGATGTGAGTCCTGCTCCAGAGAGGAATTCATGCCATGGTCACAAACCAAGATTTCAGAGTTATAGGTCCATGGACGGAAACCTATTGATGTTTATTAATGGTGATGTCTGCCATCTAAATATTCATGTTTAGAATGACAAATTTTTAGTACTCTCATGCTTGGGGAAAGAAGTCTTCCGTTGTAGTAGGTAGTGGGTAATAGAGACTCGTAACTGTTCAGAAAGTGCTAAGAACAATCGACTGTGTACAACTGGGATGTTGGGTGCCAGATGTTGCTGAGTTCTAATGGCTCCCTCAGGGGAGGGGTGAGAAGGCATGGTGTTAATACATACACCGGGAGTCAGGTGAAAGACAAAGAGCAGACTCATTTATTCAGTAATGGGGAAAGCCTTATGTACCCTTCTCCCAGCACCCAGTCTATGTCCTGATCTGGTGACATTGTGTGGCTGTCCCTTACTGGCTGGGCACAATCAGGACCTCTGACAGCACCTGTGGCGAGGCCCTCAGGCAGATTCTGCACAATCTGAACTCTGAACAGCACCTGTTGCAAGGTCCTGAGGCAGACTCCAGGTTGGCTTATAAGGAAGTACATTATGTACATACCTTGGCAACTGGTTTGAACCAATTTCCTCAACCCTGTGGGCCTGTTCTACTACATATTATCATATCATCATGGCTGAGAGAGGGTTTCACAAGTCTCCTTTACCTCCATGAGGGTCTACAGGCAGTTAATGAAAGCCATATCATTTTATTATTTTGTGTGGAGTAAATCCCCATTTTTCTTCAGTAGTTCAAACTGAATTTCTGCATGTCCTCAGAGAATTTTTTGTTGCTGTTGTTTTGGTTTTTTGAGATGGGGTTTCTCTGTGTAGTCCTGGTTGTCTTGGAATTTGCACTGTAGACCAGGCTGAACTCACAGAGATTCACCTGCTTCTTCTCCAGAGAGCTGGGATTAAAGGCATGCACCACCAAGCCCAGAGCCCTTAGAGACTTCTAAGCTGTTTGTGATATGCCTCTGTTGTCAGTCACAGCCTACCTCTCTACAGTTTCTCACTTTCTTGCTATTTGGAAGGTTTGAGTCTAGTATAAAGATTATTGAAAGTGAACAAAAGATGAGACTCTAATAGAACATTTTCTTTCAGGTTGAATTTGCTTTTATATTGGCAATTTCAGCACTAGGTAAAGGATTTGTCAAATTCATTTGGTGGCTATAACACCCAACGAACAGAAGACATGGGGATTATGTATGGTATACCTCTATATCTTTTCTCAGAATTATGAATTTTGTAATGTACAGTACAATTAGAGGTCTTTGTCACATTTTTTATGTTACTATATTTTGTCCGTATTATGATTTAACTTTTTCAAGATAGGTCTATGTACTCCTGACAGTTCTGGAACTCACTGTGAAGACCAGGATAGCCTTAGACTCAGAGATCTTCTTGCCTCTGCATCCGGATTGCTCGGATTAAAGGCATACACCATGTAGACTGTCTTTATTATGAATTCTTGAATGTTGCACAATATTGTTTTTGAGAAAAGATTTCATTATGTAACAGCCTTGGCTATCCTGGAACTAGCTGTGTACACTAGGCTGGTCCCAGACTCACACCTATCCACTTGCCTCTGCCTCCTGAATGCCAGGATTAGAGGTGTGTACTACCATTTCCCAGCTAGGATAAATAATTATGGCATTTCACAGTGGCTGGAGTCAAAATTTACTGATTAAGAGCACTGGTTGCTCTTCCAGAGGACTGGGATTCAATTTGTAACACACACATAGGTGCTCAAAATTGTATGTAACTTCACTTTTGGGGAGTCTTATGCCCTCTACTAGCATTCAGATGTACTTGGCAAACAAGTAGTATGCAGAAAGAGCTGCAAAGCAACTCTTTACACAATGGGCAAAGCACCCATACACATTAAAAAAATTTCAGTTACTATTTCAGAATTTTTAAAAATATGAACTCTGTCATATTTTCTTAGATTTAAAACTTGGTAATAGTCTTTCACAAGCTTCTTATCTTTATGTTTCTATTATTGTAGTTTGTCTTTCTTGTTGGACTTTCTTTGGACTGGTAGCTCCTAAATAATGACACAAAGACTTATTATTAATTATGAAAGATTGGCCTTTAGCTTAGGCTTGTTCCCAACTTGCTCTTATAACTTAAAGTAACATGTTTCTACTAACCTACATTTTGCCAAGTGGTTCTTTACTTCTCCTCCATTCTGTACATCTGACTCTTCTCTTGTCTTGCTGGCATCTCCTGCTACACCAGATATATCCCAAGTTGCTCTCTCCCCTAATAAGTTCTGCACATTCTCTCTTGCCTAATTATTGGCCATTCAGCTTTTTATTAAACCAATCAGAAGGTTCTTTTGAAAACACATATCTTCACAGTACATAAAAAGTTATCCTGTAGCATATTATGTATGCTATTGGGATTTATAAGCAGAGAAGAGTGAAAAATTACAACTGTAAGGTCTCTCTACAGTATGAGCTCTCTAATGTGTTCTAAGATTTTACAAGTGGGTAAAGGATTTGTCACATTCCAGATATTTGTAAGGTTTCTCTCCAGTATGACGTTTCTGATGTCGTCTAAAATTTGAAATCCATTTAAAGGATATGTCACATTCCAGACATTTGTAAGGTTTCTCCCCAGTATGAATTTTCTGATGTATCCTAAGAAGAGATATCCGGAGAAAGGACATGTCACAATCTTTGCATTTGAAGGGTTTCTCTCCAGTATGAATTTTCTGATGTCTTTTAAGACTTGAAATCCGGAGAAAGGACATATCACAGTCTTCGCATTTGTGAAGTTTCTCTCCAGTATGAATTTTCTGATGTGATCTGAGGTAGGAGCCCCTAATAAAAGATTTGTCACATTCCTTACAACTATAAGGTCTCTCTCCAGTATGAACTCTCTGATGTGTCTGAAGATAACATTTATGGGTGAAGGATTTGTCACATTCCATACATTTGTAAGGTCTGTCTCCAGTATGAATTTTCTGATGTGCTCTAAGATTTGAACGTTGGCTGAAGGATTTGTCACATTCTCCACACTTGTAAGGTTTCTCTCCAGTATGAATTCTCTGATGTCTAGTGAGGCTTGAGGCAGCACTGAAGTATCTCCCACATTTCCTACACTGGTGTGGTTTCTCTCCAATGGAGAATTTTTGTTGCAAAAGACTGTATGTAGAGTCAAAGTAGTCATCATATTCTCCCTGCCTGTGCTGTGTCTTTGCAATGTACAGTCTCTGATCTTGAGTAATGCTGGAACACAAATTTAAAGATTTATCACAATCTTTAGACTTGGAAGGTTCTTCTCCAGTGTGCATGCTTTCATGTCGATCTGTGTTTGATGAATCAATATAGTCATCCCTGTGATTACTGCGTCTGTGGTTATTAGTGTTTTCTATAGTTTCATTTGTTCTATGAAGTGCATATGTGCAGGGGTCATGAAGCACTTTGCCACACTCATTATACTGACAAGACTCCTTTTCAGTCATCACATGTTGATAGACAGGATCGCATATATAATAGTTCCCTGAAAATGAGTATAATTCAGATTAAAAGGGCTTGTTCCAAGATTAAACCTTTGATAAATAACTGTCTCCCTAAATTCTCTCTTGAGTGAATCAGCATCTACTTACACATTTTTCTTTCACTATAATTAAATGTATTCTCTCAAAAACAGCCCGCCAGCCTTTAAGGTCTATGTTATAATAGGTATCTCATCCTTATCAAAAATGTCTAATGGCAAAAGATGGATCAGAAAATTGAAGAATTAGCAATTAGTTTTGGGATAGAGCTCATTGACTGATTTTATTTAGAGTATCTGCCTCTATTTTTAAATATTTCTTCTCAGAAATGGATGAAGAGGAGTTTATTCCAATCCCAGGTTCACAGTATTTACACTTACTAAGTGATAGGCAATGAGAAGTACTGTTCAGAAGACCCAATTCCTTTAATGATTAAAGTCTTACTTAAAAACATCAGAGGTTTTTTTCTCTCTAGAAAAACACATTAGATCTTCAAAAGTAATGGATGTAAAGCAAGTTTCTGCCAGTCGCAGGAGGCTCAGATCGTTTGAGGCAGGGCTGTCATGGACAGCTATTGCTTATTTCTATCCTCCACTGTCTGAGCTCCACACACTGCTGTGTTTCTTAACTTTCCTCACAGGGTTATTCTCAAATCCACTCTGTACATGGACTCCTGAGATTATTTTCCAGAAGGTTGTCTGTGTGTTTTCCACTGTGACAAAAATGAAAAATGTAATATGAAGACAAACATGCAAGGAAGGTAATTACAAAATAATTATACTTCATGGATTTATATTTGGGCTATAACTTGTAAAATTGTTCCAAACTGATGACAGCATAGTTTTAAAAAAAAAAACTGCATTTTGTATTAATATTGTCACCATAATTCAGGTGCAATAAGACACAAGCCTTTTAACAGTTATAAAAGGCAGGATGCATTCTGGGACTAGGATACCACACTAAGTTAAAATGATCAGGAATCCTTTCAGGTGGAATTGAATATAGCAAAAACATTTTCCGCTCTTGCTCTGAAGCCATCACTGTTGTCCCGCTCATTCACTAGCCCACCCTGGTTGTAGCTACTCTCTCCTCTCTATATTTCAGGGCAATCTCATTTGCTCTGGACAGGTGACCAGGACTACCTTGCATATAACAATCCACGTGTTCTGTGAGGTAGCCCATGACTCAGAAGTTTTAGAAAGAATACAGATGTCTAACACAGTACTGTGCTCAGTACATGAAAAGAACATGAAGTAGAGAAATCTAGGAATGATTTCCAATTGATATTTCCTGTCAGAAGCTTTAGCATATTTAAGAATAATTTTCAGTTCCCCTATCTTGAGTTTTTTCTCAGAAAAACATGTGAGGTACAATGATGGATTTGGGGCTTTAAGGTATGTATGGAAATATTATATGCTACTGGGTTTCTAAATGCATTTTGGAACCAAAATGAGTTCACAACACCTCTAACATGGAAAATGGAAAGAAAGGTCAAATTCCATGAAAAAGTTCTTTTCTACTTCCAAACTTTCCCTAGTCTCACTTTATTTCCAAGATAGCTTAACAGAGTTTATAACCTATGATGTAGGTACATATAAAGGATGAGTTAGGTGTTCTACAAGCAAAATGTTCTCACCCACAGAGAGCAGGTTTCCATAATTCTCCAACATCACATCAATGTACAAAGCCCTCTGAGCAGAGTCCAGGCATTCCCACTCCTCCTGGGAGAAGTTCACAGTCACATCCTTGAATGTCAGCAGACCCAGCAGATCCTGAAATGAAGAGGTACAGTTGAATCATATGATCCCAGGAAGCATACTTTCCTTGAGATAAGGAGACTTGAGGAAGTTAGGGATATAGATGAGCAAAGACAATTAGTCAAAGTGATGATTGCTGATATAGTCACACTCTATATTGAATGTTCTAAGTCCCTGAAATCAGGATGACACAATAGTTTCAAAAGCAGATCCATGAAAAGAGACACACATTTAAGGTCTGGACATGACTTTCTATTTCCTAGGGATGTTGTTTTTATGTCCCACAGCATAACAGTGTACATGTCTCAGGAGGAAAATAGTCATGAAAAAATGTGCTTTAATTGCTCTATCACACTAAAATACTGATAGTGAATCAATTCTGTACATTCCTTGATTCTATGCATACATGATTGTATTCTAACATGCTCAGTTCATATGTTTAAACTCCATTCCATCAGTGCCATTCCATTAAAGAGAACAGGTAGATATGGAAGACAGAATTCATAACTGGCTTTATAGGTAAAGAATTTTTTTTTTAACCCACAGCAACAAGGAGTGTAACAGCACTGCATACTGTCAATTTCAACATTAAAATATAAGATCAAGTAGTCTATAGAATTACTTTTATAAGAATATTTGAGCCACAGTCAATCAGATAGAAAAATCCGTATCAGCCACATTTGATATAATCTAAAATTTTCTTTAAAAAAATAGGCGTAGGGCAACTTAGACAAGTAATATTTTCAGAAGATTTGAAGAATATTTCACTCTCAAAGAGTTATAAAAGTTGAGGGAAGTCCAAAAGCACATCAAATAATGTTTAAGTTGCAGCTAAGCATGTACACGTAAGTGTAGTAACTGAGGATGCATTCAGAAGTGACGTAGATTTCCTGTGAGTAACGAATATATTAAATTGTGTGAGAATTACTGCCACCTTTCAGTGCTTTGCAAATATAATATAGTTCAGAAGACTGGCTCAGGTGAAAACTTGAGCTATTGTGTCTGAATTTGTAGTCATCAGTGTGTCCCTTTTTAGTATTTATGCTCTATTGACTAAAAAATTTTAGGTTAGTAGTGTTTATGATTCTTCCTTTATTTCTGTGGAAGTGTATACTGGTGGCATATTCTGTTTGAGCCATGAGTCAGGTATAGAAATGCAAACCTTCTGTTCAGAGTCCATTCTCCAAATCTCCACCTTAAAACACTGCAGCTTCAGGGTAGGGTAATAGAGCCATCCCTCTCACAGGAACTGACATGAGCAAAGCAATCATGAGGAATGACTTTCTGCCTTAAATGGGATGGCTTATGTCCATCAATCAGTCAATGCCCAAGACATTATTCTTGATGCATTCCATATAATGCTACATAATGAATCCCATCCAGAAAGAAAGGGCTGCACAATGGGATCCTGTTTGGGGGGTAAAAAAGAGAAATAAAAAATACTGATCTCTCTAGTATTGGATCCAGCAAGAAAATTAGATTCTTATCTTTTATTTGTACAAAAATCTATTAAAATGGATCAAAAGCCTTATTTAAAACCAGAAACACAGAAACCTAGAAAACATAGGGAATACCCATGAAAATATTGGGATGGGCAAGGATTTACTGATTAGAAAGAAAACTACCAGCACAGGAACTGACCCCAGTATCAACAGAAACTGTCAGCACAGTACATAGACACCCCACAGAATGGGAGAGAATCTGTACCAGTGACACTTTGGAAAAGGGCTCATATATAGAATTTACAAACAATTACAGATATTAAATACCAGAGGAATAAAACTGCCAACCAACAAATGGGCAAATCAGCTAAATAGACACCTTCAAAGACAAATACACAAATAGCCAAAACACAGTGCAAAAGACTTCAGGATCTCGAAAATGCCATCATGGAAACACAGACTAAAACTACTCTGAAATACTGCTTCACCCCAGAGAAAAGAATCCTCATTAACTGTTGCTGTGTATGTGTGAAAGTGTAAATTAATACAGCCATTGTGGAAATCTGTTTGGAGATTATTGGAAAAAATTGAAGATAGAACTAATAAAAGACTCAGCTCTCTCATTCCTGGGCATATACCTAGGGTACTCCACACCCCAATATAGAGATATTTACACCCCATGTTCACTGCTACTGTATTCACTACAGCAAAGTATTGGAATCAACCTAATTGTCTATCAACAGGTCAATGGATAATGAAAATGGTACACATATAAAATGGCATAGTATTCAGCTGAATAAAAATATGCAATAAAATATCGAGTACCCAGGGGTCTGGGGGTTAGCTACGTCTGGTGTGGGATATCTGAGGGAAAAAAATCTATGTACACTATGCTCTTGTGTCTGTTAACTTTATTCCTTTAAGACAAGATTCTATCAATACAGCTATAGCTCCAGCAGGCATTAAAGGCAGAAATAATTCTAGATACACCAAGTTCTGTATCTGTCTACTATATTTCTCTGGGATGAAATCCTGTTTCCATAGCTTCAGTTCTGTCCAGTTCCCTAGCTCATAGTCCTGCTAACGACTAAACTCCTATGCTTCCAGCTTCATCTATGTCCTCTGTATCCTCTTTCTCCATCTCTGCTACTCTTCACTCCTGGCACTCAGAAAACTCTACCCGAGATCTGCTTACCCTCTATGGAACCTGTCTTCCTTTCTTCTCTCTGACCATGCGGCTTGCCTGTTTCTACAGAAAATGCTTGCCCTTTCTTTCTCTGGGTACATGGTTCTCTACCTCCTCAGGAATGTTATTCTACCTCTCGCCTTGATATGTAAAAACATCTTTTGTTCTCAGTCAGTTGCTCTGGAGAACCACTAGGCCTCAGGTGGTGGTGGTGGTGGTGGGATGGTCTGAGCTTCATTAGCACAAGAAGCAAAGCTATGTGTCTCCAGTCAGCTTGTCTCCTAGGCTCAATGGGGAGTTAGTAACTTAGAAGTTAAGCAGGTCTGGGCAGCTGAACTGTTTGCCAACTGGACTGGGCAAGCAAGAATTTCATAGTAGAAGACAGCTGAAATATTAAAAGCTGGATATCACCAAATATTCATAATAAATGGCTTGCCTCTTGACAGACCCTTGGCATGTCAAGGTATAGCTTTAATACACAACTGAATCTCTATAATATATTCTTGCGGCCTGCAAGAATAAAAACTTGCAAAAAAATGGATGGGCTCAAAATATATAATATTAAGTGAGGTTATATAGTGTCAGAAGGAAGAAATCATATTTTCTCCTAAATGCAAAATCTAGCCAACAATATGTGCATATGGAAATAATGTACATGTGGGCACAGCAGAACACATAGAGAAAAGAGAACAAGAAACATTAAATGTCAGGGTTGAGGTAAAACTGAATGCAGGTAATGGACACAAGTTATAAAATAGAATGTAAAGCTAATTTCTTTTCTAGTTCTAATTCTATCACAGTTATTTTTTTTCCTTTTTCATGGTGGACAAGTTCACAAAAATATATTCTATAATGAAAATATAAAATCCCTTATGAAGCTGCAGTTTCCAATGACTACTCTAACTGCATAAAAGTACATTGAGTTGCATAATCTTTGCATCTGGTTAATTTCAGTCTATAATTTTTTTGTCTGCTCGTTTGTTCACAACATTTTTTTTGTAACAAAGTTAAAACAACCAACCAGAAGCAGAAAAGTAAAGGCTTCCAATGTCTGAAACTGTAACATTTCTACAAAATAAGGAAGACATGACTACTGACCTGGGACATGTTTACTGGATAATCAGCCATTTCTCTTCTTTGAGTTTTTCTTTCAGGAACAATGAACAGATGGCTTGTTGCCCTTTTATATAAGGAGTTAAAAAGAAAAAGCAAAAAATTAATACTGAAAGCTGTTAAAGAAAAATGTCAAAACACTTGAAAAGACCCAAGAAATAGAATATGACCGGGTATCTAGGTAATGATCCTAAAGCCAGAAGAACATGGAATAATATTTGAAGATTGGGGAGAAAATCACTGTCAACCACATTGTTGTATCCAGAAAAATTCTATCTTAAAATTGATGGAGATGTAAGTACAGTTCAAGATATTTATAAAGTAAAACAATTCATTCAACAAAGCAGGACAGCAGACAATATATCAAAGGCAAAATATATACATGAGAATCAGAGGAATCATCCATGAGAACATGGGCAAAAATAAACTTCATGTGAAGAATAGATAAACACATGAGAAATGGGAAGTAATCATCCATGTTCAAGACAGGAAACCACCAATTCTCACAGAGAAGGAGAGGAATACTATGAATAACCCAACAAACAACATCAAAAACAAAAGCATAGGGAATAAAAACTCTAGCAACAAAATACCTAGCCACTCCAGAAATATAAAAAATCCTCAAATAAATAAATAAATCCTCAAGTTAAATAAACACAGCACAGGACCCAGCTGTTCCACTCCATGGTATCTGCTCTGGCACAGGCATGGGGCAAAGGACACTGCTTGACAAAGTTCCAGCAAAACTTTGCCAAGATATTCATTCACCAGCTGCTTTCACTTTCAGGAGCATTCCTTTGCAAAATGGGGGGAGGGGGGCAGATTATGCTTATGCAGCCCCTGTGGAAATATATATATGCTCCCAAGAGAAAACTTTGAAGATGGGGCTCACAGCATGATAGGTGAGTCACAGTAAGAAGAGTCTTCCTTGTGCCCTAAGGACTGTGGTACCAATAGGGAAAATTCTGAGAAATTTCTTAACTCAGCTCTGGATACAAGATGTCAGAAGCATATCCATTACCCTATACTGTAGCCTATATTGAGGAAATAATAGTGTGGGTTGCCAGGTGGTGGTAATGCAGGCCATTAATCCCAGCACTTGGGAGGCAGAGGCAGGTGGATCTCTGTGAGTTCGAGGCCAGTCTGGTCTACAGAGTGAGTTCCAGGACACGCTCCAAAGCCACACAGAAAAGTTCTGTCTCAAAACAAAACAAAAAAAAGTGTGAGTTGATGGAAAAGGGATGAGATGCCAGGGTCTTCCTTTCTTGAAAGCGTATGAAAAGAACAGGCCTCTACGATAGAACTGAGAAACAGAAAAATGTTATAATCAGTTAGTTAAATGCTTATTATGAGATATTTCATAACTCCTGCATTTTAGAAAATATCAAATGATTCTATATGTAACTTGGTTAAAGTAAAAATAATTTCAGACTGTCTAATATAATATAACTGCATGAGTAGCCAGCTTAGTTACAGGCTGTAAAATCAGAAGGTCCTACGCTTTGCAGACCCTGAGAAATCAGTAACTTGCTAATTTTACAGATACTGTCTGAAGATAGTGTTTCGAATAAGACTGTCTGTTTTGTACTTTGCTTTTTCAGTCTGAACATTTAATGGAGAAACACCTAAGAGATTCAGCGCTCTGATGCCTGCCAAATGACTTATGTAGTATATATGTTATATAAATAAACAGTTTCTTTGATTAAGAGAAAGAGCTGCTGAACCCTCAGATGGGCATTTGTCTTCCCCCGTCACCACTGGACTCCACACCTCCTATTTGGGAACTGAACCCCACTGAAGCTTTGGGAATGCTCAAAGGACTCGACATCCTATTCCAGAGATACTTGTTCAGCTATGTTCATTACTGTTCTACTCACAATAGCTACAAAAGGGAACCAACCTTTATGTCCTTCATTTGACAAATGGATAGTGAAAATGTAGTACATATCCAATATGAAATAGCATTTATCTGTAAAGAAAATTGTAATCATGAGTTTTGCAGGTACATGGATGGACCTAGAAAATACATTGAGTGAGGGAACTCGGACCCACAGACATAGCACGTTGTCTCTCATAGGAAGTTCCTAGTTCCAAATCTTCAGATGTGAGTACACAACCCGGAGAAACTGTGCAACCAGAAAAGTAAAAAGAGACCACAGGGTGGGGTGTAGTAGAGACTGGAGTAACGGGGAACAAGTGATCTGAAGGAGGAAAAGAAAAACAGGGTGGGGGGGATTTAATTATGGAGAAGGGGCAGACATAAACAAAAAGGGCAAAATAACAGTAAAGATGTTAAAGAGCCATAAAGAATTATACTACCATTGAGGTATCCTAAACTGCCCACAATACATGTAAGTCTGCATAAGCACATACATTGACAGTATAAATGAAGAGTTCCCATCTGGACGGATGATGCTCCTTACAAGAGCCATAGATTTTCTAACAGAATCGCTGAAACCAGCCACGAGAAGTCTACTTAGAAGTTGTTGGTCACAGCTGTCGAACAGACTCCCAAAACATTATAAGCTATTGCTGTTGCCCGTGGTTGCCTCCTAGAGGTCAAGCACTACTGTTGAAGGTGAGCCACACTGTTGAAGAAGCCATGCACTTCAGACACAAACCCCAGAGGACTCCAGATGGATATGACCTAAAGCCTCTTTTCTGGAGACTAGCTTTCATGGTACCAGAAGGCAACATAAAAGCTTCCAAAGGAAGGAGCCAGTCAACAGTCCTGCCCAGCTATGACACCTATGAACCACAACAATGATCTGCACGGCATGATAGCCCTAAGGGTGCAAGAGTGGCACACATTAACTAGGTGGTAACCAACAGCTTCTATTTGGATTAAGACACTGTCAACAAGAGGGAAGTCATGGCTAGTATTGGAAACCTAGCTAGTTTCCCTAGCGCTTGTAAGGGCATGGATCTTGGAGGAGAACCTACAACCACTATTTTACTAAATCAGCATAATCCCTAACTGCATTTTAAATATTTTCCTTATTCACACAGATAACTGAGTTTTCACCCCTTATGGGAAATTCTTTTTGGAACACATGGAGATTAAAACAGAAAACCACAATCAGTCAAAATGCAAGTTGTGATGTTCATGCCCCAATGATACAGAAGCAACACATCTTCTTCACCTCAGTCAGGCTCAGGGAACACTGAGAAAGAGGGGTGGGAACATTGGAAGAGACAGAAGAAAAGGATGTTTTCTGTGAGATTGTGTTTCCTAGAAATGTCAGAGAAGCTACATGCATGAAATCATACAAACATGGCTGAGTAAACATGAGCTGAACAAGGACAACACCAAGAGACATGGTAACATGGAAGAGGGAAAGCTCACTAGGAATCAATCCTAGTCAACATCAAGGGATCTGAGAGCTGGAGAAATGTTCATCCCTGAAAACATACACACTGAGTAGGTTGTATTTTTGTGTTCAGGAATTGACACAAGCATACAACAATGAAAGAAAGAATTAAGAAATAATAAATGCCTGTGTAAAGTCAAAAATTTGAATCCTCTCAATTAAAAAAATTGTATTTTCTATAACTGCTCTTCACATAATTAAACTTAGTAGGGGGTCTAGAGAGATAGCTCAGTGCTTCAGAGCACCTGTTGTTCTCTTAGAGACCCCTTAACAAAAACCCAAATAGTCAATAAAAATTAGGAAAGAGGCTAACTAGGACAAAGAAAGATGTTTCACACAGATGGAAGGGAACCTAATATTGTGAAATTTGCAGTATTTCTTGAAGTGGTTTATGTGATCAGTTCCAACTTCATGACATTTAACCTTCCTACAACATACTTCATAGAAATAGTAAAGAGAAACCTAGAATTTATATTGACACAAATTCCCTGGGTACAGAGCAACCCCTGGTAAATGTTACAATGCTGTAGCTACCCCCAGTGTGATTCCAGATGACACCGCAGAGCCGCACAACCGCAGCATCATAGAAACGGGAAAAAACAAAGAAACAGCCCAATGTACTACAGCAGCAGATCCAGAACCTGCCCAATAGCAATGACCATGTGAATGTCAACAAAATTACACAAACACGTGTTGCAGACAAGGGAAGACATCCACAGCAGAACTTCAGAGCAGCTTCCTTATGAACAGCAGAGAAACTGCTGGCACCCCTGGTCCCTCCCCTCCCGTGTCCCAGCCCCGCAGCTCCTCTGACCTGGGAGGTTCCAGGGCCGCCGGGCTGCGGTTCCCGCCACTGCGCTGCTGACTGGTGACTTTCCCAGGCCGCCCCGCGCGGCGACTGCGGCTCCGGGGAGATTTCAGGTCCCGAATACCCGGCTGGGTCTTCCTCATGCACTTCCGGAACACGCCATTCCCCGAGTCCAACACGGAATGGTGGAATTTCCTGTCCCTTCAGCCTGGTTCCTTGGAGCCGCACCTCCTGGCCCCGCCCAATACACCCCGCTTCCGGTTACGTGTTCCCTATAAGCCCGCCTACCGCGGGCTCCCCCCC